ACCTGCAAGATAAGATAATAACTATCGCCCTACTTTCACCTGCACCCAGCAGCAAGCGGGATAACGATATATCATACAGTCGACCCCTAAAACAGTTCACACAGTAAATGGAACAGTTGTTAATTTGTCCAACATTGTGAATTTGATGTTTGTCTAAACTGCTAATTTTATTTTTATTTATTTTTTATTTAACCTTTATTTAACCAGATAAAAGCATTGAGATATAATCTCATTTGCAATGCTGACCTGGCCAAGAAGGCAGCAACGTTACACATAACACAAACATATAAAATACAGAGAACATAACTAAGAAAACAAAAGACAAAAAAACAGTCACTACATTGTGCACATTAGGACAGTAAGGAGCTGACAGCTGAGTTAGAACAGAAAGACATGCAGGCCGACGCTCAAAAGAGGAATGTGTGTGTAGGCTTACATGAACTGAATTGAAACATTGTCCATTAGTTGATTAATAAACAAGACATTCAAGTCAAAGTTTTAGGCATTTTCATTTGTAGCACGCTGTAAATATGGACTATGAATGAACACATGCAATGTGGAAACACACAAATAGGTTTATTCTCAATACTCATAACAGTATCAGACACAATGACTTTACTGAGAGTGAAGATGACATGAACATATAGTTACTGTATGGTAGTGAAGACAAAATACAGTATATTGCATTTACCTCTTCCTCTAACTCTCTCTCCAAAAGTGGCCTCCATTGTTGTGCACAACAAAGTGTTCAAGCTCAGGTTTCTAAGTGATCTAATTGGTTACATGGCTTTGAACATGTGCATTCTGGGTGCAGGGGCTTGATAATTGAGTGTGGTATTTCAGTGGCAGTGTTTTGCAAACAACACACAGGCTGTCGGTTTTGAATAATGTGTCAAATGTAAATAAGAGTGTGTAATTATTTGGTCAATCCAGTGTCCAGCTTGTCGCTGTGTGACAACGTCATGTTTGTTGTGATATACCTACAAGATTTACCTGTGACAAATGTCAGCGATGTAAACAGAAATGTCGACCTGCTTTCACCTGCACCCAGCAGCAAGCGGGAGAAATGTTTCAAGTTGTACTTGTGAAGTTACATCTACAATTAGGAGGGTGAGTAATTAAGCTTTTATTTCTGTAACGTTAAACATATTGTTTTTCTTCAACAAGTTTGACTACATTGAAAGACAGAGGAGGGACAGTATGTGCATTCTTAATGAACATACTTTGTATTTTAGTGTCAGGGTGTTATGCTACAGGTCCATGAGGACAGGCCCCACAGTGAGGTCAGGATGAAGTGTTACTGTCTTAGTTACCGTCTGGCTCAACATGTTCCTGGGGATTTGGCTCATTTCAGACAGGTTAGACACAGCCAATAGTAAAACATCAACTTTAATATAACTAGCACAAGGGTACTAGCTACTCCCCAGAAATGGACTGACTGGTCTGTGTGTGCTGCACAGAGGTCACAGTTGTGTTTTGTTCCTGTTCTGTTGTTAAAGAGTCATTTTTCTTCGTTCATAGTATACAAGTAAATCAATTCATATCAGTATGTATAAGAAGTTGTAAGTATAGAAAACATTTAGGAACAAATATATGACTTATTTACTCCTTAAAATAGCACAATGTTATTAAACCAAAATGTTACCCTAAAAGAAATAATACAAAGCAAACTGAATACGTATTTATTTTGTTTCTCTTCTTACAGGTGGGGCTGAAAGACTCAACCCCCATTGAGCTGGAGCATCATGGCTGCAGGTGTGACGTGTGTTACTCTCCTGCTCCAGTCACATGACTACCAGTGGGTCCCCAGTACTCAGCTGTACAGAGCAGAGCAGCAGTGGTACAAACCAAGAACTATGGCAAGTCTGAGAATAATGTCATTGTAATTCAAATACTAAAACTACACACGGGATAGTTCTGGTCTTTTGAAGTGGGGTAGTGTGTGGTATATATCCATAATCAGTGTACTACCTACAGTAGTCGTGTGGAGAAACATACAGGAGCCCCGGCACAGCAGAGCCATGTACTGCTGAGGACGTGGGCAAAAGCAACATTTATTTTCTCCACCAAAAAAGCTATATCAGTTTAAGTGTACATTATTTAATGCTAAAAATAGCGATTTTTTTTTCAGGTGGGCCTTCATTTTTGTGTGGATAAAATAGGTTTTGCTGCTGTGTTTTTAGAAAAATGTGATTATTTGTGGCCTATTACAGCTTTGTGCAATTACCAAGACACAAACTGGTACTTTTGGCACAATTATTAAACTCAAGTTGCCTTTCATCTATTGAACAGATATGGGTTAGCCCTACTAACCCTGCACCCAGAATGCACATGTTAAAATGATATCACTTAGAAACCTGAGCTTGAACACTTTGTTGTGCACAACAATGGAGGCCAATATTGGAGAGAGAGTTAGAGGAAGAGGTAAATGCAATATACTGTATGTTGTCTTCAGTACCATACAGTAACTATGTTCATGTCATCTTCACTCTCAGTAAAGTCATTGTGTCTGATACTGTTATGAGTATTGAGAATAAACCTATTTGTGTGTTTCCACATTGCATGTGTTCATTCATAGTCCATATTTACAGCGTGCTACAAATGAAAATGCCTAAAACTTTGACTTGAATGTCTTGTTTATTAATCAACTCATGGACAATGTTTCAATTCAGTTCATGTAAGCCTTACACACACATTCCTCTTTTGAGCGTCTAGTGATTATGGCCTGCATGTCTTTCTGTTCTAACTGAGCTGTCAGCTTCTTAGCAGTTTAGACAAACATCAAATTCATAATGTAGACTAGTTGGACAAAATAATGCTTAACAACTGTTCCATTACTGTGTGAACTGTTTTAGGGGTCGACTGTATGATATATTGTTCTCCCGCTTGCTGCTGGGTGCAGGTGAAAGTAGGGTGACAGTTCTGTTCACATCGCTGACATTTGTCACAGGTAAATCTTGCAGGTATGCAACAAACATGACGTTGTCACACAGCGACAAGCTGGACACTGGATTTGCCGACACAGTACAAACCGGAAGTCAAGGAATACAATTATGCCCAGAGCTTGCATACTTGTATTAATCTCTATAAACGCATATCTGCATGTGAATGCAGAAATAAACGTATCCTCGTCAGCATGGGTGCCGGAAGCAGGGGGGCCAAGGGTCGTCAGACTTATGGGTCTTTTACAGCATTGCCATTATAGCCTCGTGTCTTTTATTTTGAAATATGTTCTTTAACTTCCGGTCAAGCGGACTGCTTTTCTTCATTCTTCAATACAAAACGGAACATTGAATGAAGTTGTTATCAAAAACCAAAATCAGACCGTTTTTATCTTGTTATTCGTTTTTGATTCAGACAACATAAACAGGAAAACGGCTTTGGTTTCCCGTTTTTTCGTTTTTGATTTAAAACAAAAAAAGGCTGGTATTTTCATTTTTCTCATTTTTTGGTTCAAACGAAAAATCAAACTAACAAAACGTACACTTACTTTTTTTTAATTAGGTTTTCTCGTTATCGGTCTTTTTATTCAGACAACAACAACGGAAAAACGGCTTTGGTTTCCCGTTTTTTCGTTTTAAATAAAAAACGAAAAAACGGAAAAAGGCTGGTATTTCCGTTTTTTGGCTTTTGTTTAAAACGAAAAATCAAACTGACAAAAAGTACACGGACCTTTTATGAACCACACAGCTTCCGGTCTTCCTCGACCCGACCGGAGAAAAAGACGTGCTGCAGGCAGTAGAAATACATTGCTTTTAAAATCGTGCTGTGCAACACGAAAAAAAGGGGCAAATCGTGTTGGTGAACACGAAATGCCGTGAGACTGGGTTGGTGTGTGTGTGCGTGAGATCGTTTCACATGTGTGTGTGAGAGCATTTCAAATGTGTGTGAGAGCGTTTCATGTGTGTGTGTGTGTGAGATCGTTTCACATGTGTGTGTGAGAGCATTTCATGTGTGTGTGTGTGTGTGTGTGTGTGAGATCGTTTCACATGTGTGTGTGTGAGAGCGTTTCATGTGTGTGTGTGTGTGTGTGTGTGTGTGTGTGTGTGTGTGTGTGTGTGTGTGTGTGAGAGCGTTTCACAAGTGTGTGAGAGTGTTTCACATGTGTGTGAGAGCGTTTCACATGTGTGTGAGAGCGTTTCATGTGTGTGTGAGAGCGTTTCATGTGTGTGTGTGTGTGTGTGTGTGTGTGTGTGTGTGTGTGTGTGTGTGTGTGTGTGTGTGTGTGTGTGTGTGTGTGTGTGTGTGTGTGTGTGTGTGAGTGAGAGAGAGCATTTCATATGTGTGTGTGAGAGTGTTTCACAAGTGTATGTGAACGGTATTTCGGAATAATGTCCCTAACGTCCCCTCATATGTTTGGCTGGTTGCCCTCAAGCAATCCGTGATGTTGGAATTCTATTTTCTAAAACAATTGTTGCATGAAAGATTAGCGGTGTTTGACCTTAGAAACATGTTTTGCTAATGCTGTGAACGAAAGACTTAAATGAATGTCCTCATGTGAATTGGTCATATTTGCTATAACTTGTATTAAAGATAAATTGTGTCAGTTTAGCACTTCAGAGACTGTATTTTCTCCAGTTGTTGCATTAACTTGAACACATAAAATGATTAAATATATAGTGGAAGGTGTGGTTCCTCAGGCTAACGCAAAGATATTCATCATCAGCTTCTCGGCTCCTCTCCGAACGTTCAGCTTTTTTTAGCAAATGTTTTTTCTTCAAACTAAATTTCTTCTTCTTCTT